ATTCCTGAATTCCCATTTCTGGCTGTCAGCAAATACATCAGAATCTTTGTGGTAGTTCCTTATCCCCTGGCAGTGCTGCGCTTGGGAACTGTGCCTAGAGAGAGGTCTACAAGGCGTCTAAAAGCCCTAAGCCCTGCTTAGCACCTAGGGCGTATCCCATTGCAAATCTCAACCATTTCATCAGTAATATGATTGCTTTCCTGGGCAACTGAGAATAGCAGCAGTTTGTGAAAGAGGCATCAGACCCCCTAGAAATGCGAAGGCATTCCCAGCTGTTTGGACACATTTCCACAAGAGCAAAATTGCTTGGTGCTTGCCAATCATCTGTAAATGGTGATAGTGGTGACACACTAGGGCCCTTGGGGAAGAATGTGGGTGCTGAGTGTTGTTAGAGCTTTGTGGTTGCTAGTTTTGAGACCATTTCTGCCAAGTGCACAAGGCAACACACCCATGGCCCTGGGCCCTGTAACTGGCACCCGAGGGAGCAGAGAAAGGGGCTGTTGGAATGTCAGTTATGAATTGCTCTGATGTCGAACCACGAGGCCATTGGGCACAGCTTGCCTGGGACATTCCAAAGCCGTGCACTCCCTGCTCGTGCTGGTCTCGTGCAAGAGATTTCTCAAGGTCATGGTTGTCAGCGTCATTTTAGGTGGCCATCAAGCAAGTCAAGCTCCACCAACAGAGCAAAGAGGAACTCCTGAAAGAGATCCTGGTCCTGAGGGATAAGAAGCACCCCAATATCGTTACTTATTTAGACAGGTAAGCAGTTCTGGTACTATCATGTTCATGTTCAATTACGTAATTGCAAGGTAAAGGTTAGAAATCTCTTTACTCCCCAGGAGAAAATGGATCTTTTAATTTATATTTTTAATCTGCTTGTATACCACATATGGGAGGAGTTTGCATTTGGTCTGCATTAGTGCTTCCTGGTATCCATAGCTTAAACACTGTTCTCAAAAACCTGGATCTCTTCCTAAATCAACAGCCTGTATGTTCTCTCCCTTCATGTTGTAGTGGGCTTGGATGTTTTTCGAGTGTCTCATTCCTCTCCACGCTGTGGTTTTCCTCTTCCAGCTACCTTGTCCATCAGGAGCTCTGGCTGGTGATGGAGCACATGGACGGAGGCTCTTTGACGGATGTTATTAGCGAGACCTGGATGGCCATGGGACAGATAGCAGCTGTCTGTCGGGAGGTAAGGGATCCCACTTATGGTGCTTCTGATGGCTTGCAATGGATTGTCCTGGTAAGGAGGCAGTGTGAACAGGACGGATTTCATCTTCAGAGCTTTGTTCCTGTGTTCGCTTGAGCAAACTGCCTGCAGTGTCCCGGCACTTCCTGTACTCTGCTCTTATGATCCTCTTATCTACCGTGGTTTTACTGTCCCGCTCTGTCTTTCTTTAAATTTATTTACTCTTCCCCACTTGGCCTCTCTCAGCATTGGCCTGGAGCCTGTCTCTATTGCATTGCTTGCCTGTAAAAGCAAAGGTGCTGGTGGCAGAAGTTGGGGGGAATGGCAAAAGAAAAATCCAGACTCATTTTTGCCACTCCTCAGCTTCAAAGCACAGCACTGCCCCCAAGACGGTGTTTGCTTCTCCAGACTGACTAATGGGCCACTTCCAAGTCTGCTGTCCAGGCCAGCAAGAAAATCTCCATCGTGCAGCCTCCCGGCCAAAAGCGACCAACTTCATGCCATTTGTTGGCAAAGCCTCCTTTGTCCTCTGGGGGCGAGAGCACAAGCAGTGCAGCAGCAGTCATTCTGGCTGGCTTTGCAGGGCACTAGAGCAACAAGGGATGTTTCTGTTTCAAAGCTAATACGCCTTCCCTTAGAAAGACACTGCTCTCCTAGTGTTGGAGCAGCAAGCTCTTCCGCTTGACAGCACCATGCGCTGGCTTCGCTCACTATTCCCCTCGAAAAGGGGGAGTCTTTTAGAGCAGTCTCCTTTCTTGTGGGATGAAATCAGATGGCCCACTTTTATCCTCTGGTTTTATTTCTCCCTTGCAGTGCCTGCAGGGACTGGCTTTCCTTCATTCCAACTGGGTCATCCACAGAGACATTAAAAGCGACAACATTCTTCTGGGCCTGGACGGAGCGGTGAAGTTGGGTGGGTGTTCTTGGTTGGGCTCAGTGTTCTGGGCATGCAGTGTGGGGCTGCTGTGGAGTGACTGCCACTTCCCCAACAGCGC